TTAACCTGGTTTTACTATTTAACTGTAATCTCCAGAAAAGTAATTTAACGCTGGCCTCGGTTTTCACCTGTGAATAGACAGTGCTGAATTCAGTTCTTTCTGAGGCCCTTCCAGCTTTGTGAATCGCATGTGGGCCCAGGTTTTTCCTCCACGCCCTTCCTGGAGGCTGATAAAATGAGCAGATCAGATGTGAACAGTGGTGACCAAGTAGCAGGGGTTAGTAAGGAAGCCTCTGGAATCAAATTACCAAGGTTCCAACCCCGTTTCCATCCTTTACCAGATGTGAAACACTAAGCAAGTTAGTTAGTCTTCATGCCTTAGGTTTCCCATCTGTAAAATGGGGGTGATGAAGGAGAATTCCTTGGTGAGTTACAGCATCTTTCTCCTAAGGTGGTTGTGAGGATTGAGTTGATACATGTCAAGTACTGCCTAGAGTACGTTAACGTTTATTAGTTCAATAACTGTTTATATTTTTCATTATTACTATTACTGCTTAAATTCTTAGAAAACTGTGCTGTAAAACTCTGAGGTGGTGGTGATTAATAAGCTCAATTATATCATTAGTAATTCCTATGCTAAGCATAAATCCAGAAAAGCTGGTATCCTAGAATCTGCTTTGAGAGTACAGTACTGTGTATTTGAACAGACCACTGAGAGTATTTTCAATGTTAACCTTACAGAGTATTAGCCTCATCACAGAACTGGTTTCTGGAGGCCTGCTTAACGCATCTGTAGTGTGGGTGCAAAAAGCAGACTGATAAAACAGAGTAAGGCATTCTGAAAGATCTGCTATGGTACTCTCATGGTAGGGGAAGGGTGGGATCGAGTTGCTCTAGTCGTCTTTAAAAGTTATAAATGATTAGCATGCTGTATTATTAGTTTTCTAGGGCTGCCACAGCCAAGTACCACAGACGGGGTGGCTTAAACAACAGAAATTAATTATCTCACACCTGAGACTGGAAGTCCAGAAGCAACCTGTCAGCACGATTGGTTGCTTCCGAGGTTTCTCTCTTTGGCTTGTGGATAGATGAGTTCTTTCTGTCTTCACATGTTCTTTCCTTGTCTCATGTTTGTATCCAAATTTTCTCATAAAGACACCAGTCATATTAGGCCCACCCTACTGACCTCATTTTAACCTAACCAACTCTTTCAAGACCCTGTCTCCCCATGCAGTCACATTCTGAGGTCCTGGGATTCAGACTGCAACATAGGAATTTGGGGGAGAGAGGACACAGTTCAGCCCGTAACGTATGTTATAACATGTAGACACATAAAGGCCCAAATAGTCCAGTAATATATTTTACTTTCGACTAAAAGAAGATTAATTTGACACTTGTAGTAAAAGCTTGCATTGCGCCGAAACCGGTTTGGCTCAGTGGATAGAGCGTCGGCCTGCGGACTGAAAGGTCCCAGGTTCGATTCCGGTCAGGGGCATGTGCCTGGGTTGCGGGCACTTCCCCAGTGGGGGATGTGCAGGAGGCAGCTGATCGATGTTTCTCTCTCATCGATGTTTCTAACTCTCTCTCTCCCTTTGAAGTGTCCCAGGTTGGATTCGGGTCAGGGGCATGTCCCTGGGTTGCGGGCACATCCCCAGTAGGAGATTTTCTCTCTCATCTATGTTTTTAACTCTCTCTCTCCCTTCCTCTCTGTAAAAAATCAATAAAATATATTTTTAAAAAAAAAAGCTTGCATTGCTTAGTATTGTAGAATTCAGTAAAACGAGATTCGCTTTTTTACAGTGGTTTTAGAACAGGGGTGGGCAAACTTTTGACTCGAGGGCCACAATGGGTTCTTAAACTGGACCGGAGGGCCGGAACAACAGCATGGATGGAGTGTTTGTGTGAACTAATATAAATTCAAAGTAAACATCATTACATAAAAGGGTATGGTCTTTTTTTTCAATAGTTTTATTCATTTCAAATGGGCCAGATCTGGCCCGCGGGCCGTAGTTTGCCCACGGCTGTTTTAGAACCTTTGTAAATAATAATAGCAAAAACAGCTCCTTTAGTAAATGTACAGAAGACCTGCTTTCTTGATCAGAGAATTACTTTTTGATAGTACTTTGACACGTTTTTGTCCCCGGGCTCCACCCTAAAATGCCAAAAGTGGAATGAGAGGTACAGTTTGGAATGTTGTCATTCTTTTACCCGCAAATACATAAGTAACCCTTCTGAAAAACTGGAAGGCCAGAGGGTGGGGAAACTTACATTTTTTGAGATCGTCAAGAGAACATGTCAGCACCTTCTATCCCCAGATGGTATGTTGTTTTGGATTCATTCTTTAAAATAGCGGTGCATTTTTGTCCATTTTTAGATTCAGTATTTATAAATGTGACAGGTTTTATTTTTTAAAATTTCATATAGCCCTGGTCAGTGTGGCTCAGTTGATAGAGCATCATCCTGTGCACTGAAAGATTGCCAGTTAATTCCTGGTGAGAGCACACGCTCAGGTTGTAGGTTTGATCCTGGTTGGGGTGCGTGCAGGAGGTAACGGATCAATGTTTCTCTCTCTCTCTCTCTCTCTTCCCCTCCCTCCCTTCCTCTCTCCCTCTTCCTCTCTCAAATCAATAAAAAGAAAATTCTTTAATTCATATATCCTGGATTTCTAAGGAAGCACAGTATCCAGTGGAAAGCTGTCAGAAACACCTGTTTTGTATGTTAGTGTTGGCTCTTTGAATTTTAAGAATTAACTGGCCTCCGACATTTTGGTTTTGTGTCTATGTGTATGAAAGAGTCTTTACTTTTAGTATCTTATCACTGATGCCAAAAACTTATTGAATGGCTTGAATATCAGTCAGTTGTAGCTCAAGTATAAATTTCTTAAATTTGATGTCTCAGCATATTAATAAAGAAGTGATTTTTGGGGGGTGGGGGGAATAAGGAAACATTTGTAACACCTTAACTAATAATAAAAATAAATAAATAAAAAAGAAGTGATTTTTATCCAGTTTTGCAAGAGTGATTTGGGTAAAACAACCGATTTGTTTTTATACTAGCCAAGTTGGTTCTATTTTTTTTCTTAAGGTATTTCTAAGATTTATTGAAAAATATTATTTTCCTCTTTCATGTCTCATGTGAGCCTCCACTTAGAAATAAATAAAGCCTTTAGTAGTTCCACGTGAAAACATACACACACCCAGATACCAGATAGACAAACATCTTACTTGTACTCCACCCTGCCCTGCCCAGCCCACTGCTTGCATAGCTATAGAAGCTGTTTGGGGTGTTTCTTTTTCTGCCACCCAATCTCTATGTGGTAAAAAGGCAACAAAGCCTGCTGTCCCATCCAGTTAATTCAGAGTTCCAGAGCAAAAGCTGGGACTTCCTCAAGAAAAAGGCACAACCAGAACCAGAATGAGTGGAGCCTTGGTATCATCCAGAAAGGGGACAGGGTCAGAACCAAGTGAACAGAGCCCAAGCCACAGCATGCTTCCATGGCAAGGCTCCGAGGGCTTTGGGGGGCTTTCTCCATACCCTTACTCTGTGACTGTGGGCACATGAACGTTGGTATAGAAGAGACATGCTCTCGGTTGTTGGCCCTGACTTGGTGGGAAGTAAGCAGCATGTGAATAGACCAAATGTTTGAAATCACATATTGATAACAAAAATGCTTCATACTTAGCCCATAAATAGGGTAATTTTCCAGAGTATTAAAACAGATATAACTTTGTCTTTTTTATTATATATTTACATATATTTTTAATTGGGAAAACTATGAAGCTTAAAATAGCTACAGCTAGCTGTGTCCCAGTGTATAATAATGTATCCAGACAACTTGTCCACAAGTGGTCTTTATTTCATATTTATCGACTGGAGCATTCCTTAGACAGAAATATCTGTGGCTAAACTTGAAGGAAAAGGAAAGTTTGGTCTCGGATTCTAATGGAAGGAATGAACTGAGTGAGCATCTGGTTGAAATGATCTTGTCTTTCAAAGTTGCTTAATGGATGATGACAGTGACAAGTAACAGTTCATTTAGAGAAACGAGTACAGAATGAGTCTGTACACTGCAACACAGCATGCCAAAAATCTGACTCGTATTTCTGATAATGACTGCGGAGTTAGAAATGGCCTTTTTCTGAAAATCCAGGGCCACATAATTTATATATTGGGCAGAAATTTGGGGTGGGGCTTATTTAGTGGTGTGCCTGTATGATGGCTCTATACTCTTGTTACTGACTGCACAACAAACACACTTCTCTCCTAAATGGAGAGACCCATAATTAGGTTAACGGCTGATTCTTGGTTAAAGACACAAGCATTTATTGCTGCGTTATTCCTCTTTCAACATTGTCCCTATTTGACTGTTATGTTTTGGCAACTCAAATAGGCTTTCAGGCGTGGTGCCTAAAAATACAAGACTGAAATTACGTTTTATCAAGTAAAATTTTAAATCTGTCGTTTTTTTTAAGTCTGTTGGGCCTAATTCACTGTGAGGACAGTAAAACACATTTTGTATATAATTTGACATTTAATATTTGAAAATAAATGGGGAAAAGTAGAAGCTTGGGATGAGTGATCAGCCTTACAAAGTCCAGATGGTGACAGGTTGGTTTATTTGTTTTTTGACTGGCAGGAGGTGAGGGGATGAGAATTCTCCTCTCACGGATTTGGCAATTTGAAAAATTCGGTTATGTTTATTTTTCTTTGTCCATTGTGCCTAAGTCATGGTGACTCAAGCAAATAGGCTCTTGTCCGTTCAGGAAAGAAAGTCATTCTCTTCCAGAGACATGCATAAGTTAGTCCCTGACATGGCGATGGACACCTTAAAGTAGAAAAGGTTCTGAAAGCCTCCCCTTCCCGAATTATAATTGCATAAGGGAAGTCGGACCCCCGCTCTATTACTCAGCTTCAACTGGAGAAGTGGCTATTTTCCTCTTTGTTCGAATCAACCTACAGCTGTCAGGCCTCATCATCCTAATGACACAGTTGACATTCATGAGATTTAGACATTGTTTATAGTGTGATCACATAGGCAATAAATTTCTTATTCTCTTTCAGCATTGGACACTTTTTCACCATGTTGACGGCATTTTAAATATATTTGTCAACTTCCCCAAATTTTAACTGAAGAAAACTTTCAGAGTTTCTACTTGAGGACTGAAGTGTGACTGCCAATTATCAGGTCAGTATCACCCCATCCTACCCCACCCCGACCCCCATCCTCAGCAATATCCCTGCCATCGAAAATATAAGGCAGTTTTACTAGCTTCCATTTTATATGTCATGCAAAAATGTATTGCAATGTCTTGTGTATTGAGATTATGTTCAGATGAATAGAAAAGCAAAGAACTGCTAATTTTTAATATTTATAAAGAAAGGTTATGCCCTAGCTGGTTTGGCTCAGTGGATAGAGCGTTGGCCTACGGACTGAAGGGTCCGGGTTGGATTCCAGTCAAGGGCACATGCCCAGTTTGTGGGCTCGATCCCCAGTGGGGGGCATGCACGAGGCAGCCAATCAATGATTCTCTCTCATCATTGATGTTTCTCTCT